CAGTGATGTCATCTGTCCAGTCTAAGCTCATGTGTCATCTGTTCAAACTTTTTACCAATCCTCTCCCTCCTGTTTTTGCTCCCTCTGTGCCCTGTACGTATTTGTTGTCATGGTACCTATCACACTGAGGGCACTTAGGTTCTTACATTTCTGCTTCCCTATCCTCGGAGGAGAGTGTGTTGGTGGCGAGACCTAGGTCTTATACGTTGGGATTCAATCCCTGGTGCTTAGGGCTTAGCAATTGTTCAATAAACGTTCGTTGAAGGAATGGACGAGCCCTCATCATCTGACCTCAGTCTCAGAAAGTGGACAGAGAATCTCTTAAGATATTGGATGGTGTTGAGGAGCTTGCTGTTTTCCCCCTCCAAAAGGGGCCCTAGTATCTTCTGCAAAGAGATAAAAGCAGCTCACAGGCCAACACCATCCCTCCATCTTCCCTAACTATAGCAACTCTGTGCCCCAGGGGGGAAACCTAAAGATAAACTGTATCACAACCATGGGCTGGCTTGGTGAACTATGCATTTTTAAGCCAAAATGTGACTTTAGATTTAATGGGGAAAACACTAGGTTTCAAGCCAGAAGATTGGGGCCTGAGCCTGGCTTCCGGAAATTATTAATGCATGATTTTTGTCATGTTACATCTCTGAGCTCTAGCTTCCTCCTCTCAGAGCCCAGGAATGAAAGGTCCTGCTCACCTACTCCTCAGGGTTGCTCTAGGCTGAAATGAGGTTCTGTGTAAATGTTCTCTGAACTTCTGTGGTGCTGAGTAGGCCCCATTGTCCTTTCACTTGGGGCCCTACTTGGCAGGGAGAATGTGCCCAGTGCCTCAAACCTCCCTGAGACATCAAGGCTTCGGGCAGGCCAGCTGGGAGCCTTCAGCAGAGAAGGAAGGCACCACTTAGACGTCTGCATAGGCAGTTTTTAAACAAAGAGAACATGGAGGAAATACCACAGAATTTATGGAGTGAAAGCTTTAAAAAGAAACACAAGACTTAAGTCAAAACAGTTGACTCAAGTCTGGGGGAGGTGTCTGCCTGGATGTAGGAGAAAAAAGGGATGGACTTGGGGTGGGTTGAGACAGAAGGAGCAAAGCTCTGTGGGGTGTCCTACCAGGTGGGGTAAGTGGGCACCTCGACACATAGCTCAAGGGAGGGAAAACTGAAACTGCCTTTAGGGAGGGAAGCACCCACCAGCCTTTTTGGAGTGCATATCTTTGGGTGCCCCACTCCCATTTCTAAGACTTTCACTTGGGATGTCCTTCCCCAAGGCCATAGCAATATGTACAAGGATGGTCACTGCAGCCTCATTTGTGGTTGGGAACGCTTGGAAGCAATTCAGATGCCATCCGGTGAAGGACAGGCTAAATGAGTCACAACACATCTGTACCATGGGATTCTAGGAAGCCAATGACGTACCTCTCTAGGTGTGGCGTAGAAGGATATACATGCTACAGTAAGTGAAAAAGACCAGTTGTGGAAGGGCATGGGTACGATGATCTTGTTTTTATAAAAACTGAGAATATACCTACTACATTTGTATTTGCAAAGAAAAGAATGTGAGAGGATATATGCTAGTTTGTTGACAGAGTTTATCTCTGGGAGTTGGAATTATAGAATGTTTGTTATAAAGTTCTAAAAATTTGATTTTTTGAAAAGAAAATATTCAGGGGCACCTGGGTGGCTCAGATGGTTAAGCGTCTGCCTTCGACTCAGGTCATGATCTCCAGGTCCTGGGATCGGGCCCCACGTCGGGCTCCCAGCTCAGTGGGGAGTCTGCTTCTCCCTCTCCCTCTGCCTCTCCCCATGCTTGTGTGCTCCCTCTCTCTCTAAAATATAAATAAAATCTTTAAAAAAAAGAAAACATTCAGAGAGTAAAAGCCCGATGTTTAATTATGATAAACATCATGGCGACAGTCTGTCCTCCATTGTGGAAAAACCCCAAAATGTCCCTATATTGCATCATAGATTTCAAGATTGTGATACATTCCTAATCATGTTACTCCCTGATAAAAATCCTTAATATCTTTCATATCTGACCCTCCCACTCCACCTTCGTTAATTTACTCTCTACGATTCACTGAGTGTTATCTCTGCTTTGATGCTAGTGTGGAAAGGGTGTGATGATCTCTCCACAGCATTCGCAGCTCCTCCAAATCACAAATCACATAGAAAGGGCTCCAGAAATATTAGTCAGAGGAATGTATGAGTGAATTCAGTCATTTGGGGAGCTGGCAACCCCTCAAGGAAGTCAGACCTCTCCGAACTGGCCACTAACATTCAGAGGTGCTCTGTGAACAGGGCAGGGCCTGTGCTAGGCACAGGCAGTGACATGAGGAGCTTAGTCTAGATAAAGAGCCTGAGGCGGGAGATGGGAGACCCAGGTTCTATCACTAGGCAGCAATGGGACTTTGTACCAGTCACTTTCCCTTTCTGGGTTTTTATTCCCTCCTCTGTAAATCAGAGTTGGGTTCAGTCAACATTTCTCAAAGCACATTCCTAAGAACACTACATCTGGGATGTGTTCATAAATGACCCTTAACAAGAATTCTGTGGTCAAATACGACGCTGCTCTCTGCATGCCACTCTCTGAGCTTCACAACGCACATTAGCAAGTTCAAGTCCCCCGAGAGGTCTTTCAGGAAATAAGCTTACTTATCGATGCTTACACCAGCATTTTCTTGTATTTATTTCACCTTGGAGTCTTTAAAAAAAAAAAAGTTTTTTTCATGAGCATCTCTCTGATACGTCCACCAGCCTTAGTAATAGCTGAGGTCCTTCCAACTTTCTGAATCCATGGCCATGATGATTTGCTTCCTCCACGCCTGGTAGCTCTGCCCCCAGGCCCCATCCTGTGGCTCCGGTGATTGAAAGCATTGTATTTCAGATGACCCTTGATGAAGCATAGCTCTGTTTTGTAAGCGGGGAATACACAGATCCCTTACCATCTCAGCACAGTCCTGGTCGCATGGGACAGGGGAGATACAGAATATGCAGAAGGGAGGGGACGTCCAAAAGGGCTGGGCTGGAGTGTGGGGCACTTGGGGTGCAGCTGTTGGGGGCACCTAAGTAGGAATGAAAAACAGGGAGGCAGGGCAGATGGCCAGAGAAAAGGGAAGTATTGAGAAGGTACTTGGTCCTTGTGTGGTTTGCTATCCTATTTGTGGCTGTGGTTCATCTCTTCCTCTGGATTTAAATACCATTTGTATATTGATGCTGTCCATATTTGAATATAATCTTTTGATTAGGAAAATGGACTTTGGAGTCGTACATCCCATGTCTGAGTTTCTTTTATAAAAGGGGGTTACTATAAAGCTTGGCCACATGGTGTTGTTTATGAGGATTGAATGAGTTAACACATATCAATGCCTTTAGAATAGTAATTGGCCCGTAGTTAGTACTCCATTAATGGCATTGTTGTTATTAATTATTATTTATGTTTTCAGCCAAGATCCCTCTCCAACTTGACAGTTCCACTCAGATGTCTCCCAGGCATTTCAGACTAAACAGGACCCAAACTGAACTCTTGATTTTTCCCACCAATACCCCATCTTCCTCACCTCAGTAAATGTCACCTCTATACATCAACCCACAGCTCAAGTCAGGAGCCCAGGAGTCAGACTTGTTTCCTCCTTCCCCTTCCCTGTCACATCCCATCCACTGGGAAATTCTGTGGTCTACTCCTAAATATCTTTCAAATTCATCTATTTCCTTCTACTTCCATCCCTGCTCCATCTGAGCAGGCTCATCTTGGGACAAATGAATAGTCTTCTAAGTGGCATCCCTACTCTTCCTCTTGCTCCTTTCCAACAAATTCTCCACGCACAGCCGGAATGCTTTTACCAAGCATAAATACGAGCATGTTAAAACCCTAAGTGGAACGTAAAATGAAGCCCACGCCTCTCACTGTGGTTTTGTGCTGTCTAGCCTCTGGTGACGGTATCCCTCTCTTAGGGAAGAGAGGCCTCCCCAAGCTGGTCCGCTCTACTCCAGTAGGACTGGCCTCTTTCCAGTTCCCACCACGGGAATTCTTTCCCACCTTAGAGCCTCTGTCTGTGTCACCCTTTTTGCCCATGGCTCTTTACATGATGGACTTCTCTTCAACAGAGAATCTAAGCTTCAAGCTTTCCCTTTCCAGACAGATTTCCCCTGCTACACTCCCTTAGTGGGTCTCCCCAGTTCTTAGTCCTAGCCCTGTGTCCGTGACCTTCACAGTACGTCTCTCACCTTGCAATCACTTATTTATTTGTCTACCTGTTTATTGTCCTTCTCTCCCCCGAGACATTTTCCCAGAGCCTGGTACAACTTCTATTTTTCAAACACTGTCAACTCAGCACAGAGCCTGGTCCCCCATATATATTGCATGAATGGATGAATATCATGATGAGTGAATGACTCACTCTCTGATACATCCTCCCTATTACTAAAAGTGTAATACGCTAATAAGCAAAAAATGATTTAGTCTACTTCAGTCAGATAAGCTCAGAGCTGGAACAAAGGACCCATGCATGAGCCTGCGGACGCACTTTTAGACATGGGAGAAATCCTCCAACCCATGATGAGAATGCTGACGCAAGGCAAGATCTTTGGTCTATTCCATCAGCCAGTCACCAAGGAGCCCTCAGACCCCAGGAAGCAATGAACTTTGTGGGATGGATGTCCTCAGTGCCACCAGCATTTTCCATCAGGCTGGTATCTGACCCCAATTTTTTCTGGGACATTCCGAGTCTCCAGACCCCATATCTTCATTGAATTATGAATTTATTTTTTTTGAAGGGGAGTCTTTCTCCAAAGACTACTGGTTGGAGTAGAAATCTATGGTTGCAACTATTTAGTGTCTCAGCAAACATGGGACCAGTCCTTCTGCTAATTCCCTGGGAAGTTAACATAAATGTTTATTGACAGCGCAGTCCTCAAGAAAATAAAGTTGCTGATTCATTGCCTTATGTTGAAACCCTGTGTTTTTTCCCTCCCTTCCTTCCTCTTTATAAGGAGACACTCTGATGGAGAGCACATTTTGGGGACCCACTTGACGTGTTGTGGTCTTGGTTGCCTGATCCTTCTTCCATCTGCAGATCTTGGTCCCTGTAACAGCAGGGGGATCAGCCTCCCTCTTTCCTCTGGAGGATCACCCTTCTAGAGACTCTGAGGAACAATGGAAGTCTTCTGGGGGTTTCTCAAACTGGAAGTGAATGGCTCCATGCTGATAGTGGCCCTCTCAGTGATCCTCTTGGCTTTCCTGAAATGGTAAGTCAGCCAGCAAGTTCCCATGACCGTGACATTGCCGGTAACAGCAGCCCTGGAGCTTCGCTGGAGCCAGGGTGGGGGATGTGGGAGTGTGTTTTTCTTCTCTTCTAATCTAGAGGGAGTTGAGTATTAACACAGCTTCAGAATTAAAAGCAAACAGCCAGGTTAATCTTTTGCTAAAATGCATGAGATCGAGGTGTCAGGAAAGGCTGGTGATTCAGTGACTGAGAACACTACACATAATTAAGTTTGAAAGATGGAAAAAGAAAAATATTGGAAAGGTTTGGGGAGAAGTTATTTCCTCGTACGTGTCGTATCTTCTCACCTCGCTTTTCTGAGATCCGCTCCCCGTGGTGGATGTACTGTGGATTCAGCCTCTTGGTTCATATGACATTAAAAACAAGAAGGACGTAGGAGCTGTCTGGCATCGTGGGCCACTTTGCAGGAGGCCACTGGCAGGGATTTCTGTAGGTTTAAGGACAAAGTGGTGGAACTAATTTCCTAGTTTTCTGCTATTTGATAGAAAGGAATGGATTCTGATGAACGGAGTGCATGAGACCTTGAAAGGATCTCAGATTTGAACTGAGAGTAGCACCCTGTTATCTGGTTAATTCCACAGGAGGCTTTTCAAAGTTTGGCTCTGCCCAAGGCCTGTGTCTGTAGATGGAAGGGCCCACAAGATGCTCCATTTATGCATATTCACCTGGCTGGTTAAACTTACTATAGTCACCCACTCGATCCAAAGCACCTGGATTTATGTGGCTCCAGTTTTTGAGGGGAAAGTGGAAAAATTAATGGAGAACTCGAGTTTGAACAGAATTTCAATTTATGTTTCCGGTGGTAATAAATCCTCCCCTAGATTAATAACTGGGAAAGCACTTTGAAAAGCATCAAGCATTATGCAAATGTGAGGTATTATTCTTTTGGAATTTGCATAGCTGAAAATGGAGTTCACATTTGATGTTCTATGATGATGAAATGACTTCTTGGAAATTGGCTCTGAAACTCAGCTTCAGTCCCATTGCTGTTTTTGCTTTTTAACTGGTTTAATTATCTTTTGAACTTTTCTCAGTATAGCTTATCTTGCCTTGAAACCAGCCATATGCAAAACCAGGAGCCATGAGTAGCTCTCTTCCCTGCCCCACCCCATTCACCCATCTCATGGCATGAAGGCATGAAGCAGAGGTGGTAAATAGGAAGTGAAAGCTGACTTCCATTTGTTATCTCAAAAATATTTGTTGATCTGTTAATGTATGCCAGGCATGGAGCGGAGGCTCTCTGGTACAAAGTCAGGAAACAGGAGGTCGGGATCAGATGCCCAAGGCAGGGGGATACATGGAGGCTCTGGGGTAAGCATGGTGTCTGGAGGGAACCATGCTGAAGGAGAGCAGGCAGCAGAAGATGGTGGCTGTGGCCGTGGCTCTGGAGCTCCTGGGTCTATCCCTTGATCCAGCTCAAGGTAACCATTCTCGGGCTCTCAACCCTCCTCTTCCAGGCAAGGCTCTAGGTAGCCTCTGAGCAACAGACTCCTGCTTGAATGAGGTTGGGCCTCCCCTCCTGCTTCATTCTTTTGAGAGGACTTGTGGGAGAGAGAGGGGTGCTCAGGGAAAGCTGGAGGTGGACAGATCCCCATAGCCATCTTGCTTCTAAGAAGAAACTGTGGAGGGCGGCATGTCCTCACCATTCAAATTCCTTTGTCTTTCCTTTGAGAGTCATCTTGGCCATTGGGCCAGGTAAGATTGTCATGGAGAGCCTAAACTCTGAGAAAGTAAAATTAGGAGGACTGCTTCTTGCCTCCTCACCTGGCCTGAGAGTTCCTGCCAGGGAGGGGTGAAGTCTCATGTCTCATGGCAATTCCAGAAATCTCTATCCATGGCACAGATGTCCTTCTAGCATTTGGTTTAATGGGGGTAAAGGTGAGAAGTACACATTCATCAGCCCAGCACCCAGGACTTAGGGTTTGGCTCCTGCCTCTTTCGGCAGACTCCTCTCCCCCATCCTTCCCCCATATCCTGTTCTGAAAGTGGTCATGTTGCTGCATGCGTCCTTTCTTTGCCCTTCCATGCTTGCAATTCCCTTCCTCTTCTCTTTCCTTCAGTGCTCAGCTCAGGGGCATCTCCTCATGGAAGCTTCTCCTGTTTGTCTAGGGCACTTACGAGCCCCCACTCAGTGCTGCTTTTATCATATCTCTCACCAACCCCCACCATCCCAATGCCCAGCATGTGGCATTGGTGCATAGTAAATGTTAGCTGAAGGCTAAGTCCAGCCTCTGATCTCTGCTGGTATTTTTCTTGCTGTTCTTCTCTTATCCTTCACAGATCAGTACAGATCTTAACAGTTGTGCCTACTCGAGTCACCCCTTTTCCTAAAAGCCTGTTGTGTTTTCAGTTTGTACCAACTCGGTGACCCCTTTTTAAATTGTTGCAGGCTTGCTGTTTCTGTAGCCCCAGCCACCTTGTAGAAGAGACCATGACGTGTATTTAATAAAGGCTTCTGAATTATGATGTGTATATGTGAATTTGGAAAGAAGAAGACAAAAGAGTCAATTTCATTTAAAAAGAGACCATTATAAAATAGGCATAGCATCTTGCAATAGTTTTCCTCAAGGTGCATTTGACACAATTTTCAACAACACTTATTTAAATCTACCGTTGATGGGGTATCAGGAGATCAGAGCTGCTCCACCGGGGCTGGAGATGGAGCAGGCATATAGAACATATTAGCCAGAAGTACGTGAAGCACATACAAAGGTGATTAACACACATGGCAAGACATTTTCAAAGCTCATTTTTCTGGGTAAAATTGTTTGAAAGTCTTCCTTCTGGAAGAGATTTGATGTACAAGAAATAAATTGTATGAACTCAATATTGCTAGAGGCAACCTTAACTTCTAGTGTATTTAAACTTTCAAGCACACCTAATACTTGGCAGCTGGATTCCTATTGGCAAAGATTGCTTGATTCTTTAAAAGAGTATAAGGAAGTGGCCCAAATATTAACAGTGGTTTTTCTTCCTTGGTGGGATTACGGATGATTTTTATTTCTTTTTTTAGTCTTTCAAGAGCTTCCACATTTCTTTCATGAGTATGAATTACTGAGCAAAAAATACAAAATAAAAAAAGAGAGAAACTTTATTAAAAAGGGGGAAATTGCTCTTCTCTACTAGTGAAGAGGAAACCAGTTTTATGCTTTGGGTGTGGCATTTTTAGGACTATAATCTCATTATTTCTACCAATAGAGTAGAATGTACAAGGGGAATTTGGAGTAATGGGAGAACTTCTTGGCTAATGAGGCAGTGCAAAAAGTACTCCATTAAGTAGCTAAACAGTCAAAGAAGGTAAATACATGAATACACTGGAAGTTGAGAACTGCTATCTTGGAAAGATGCAAGGGCTTTTAATACCAGGCTGCATTTAAAGGTCAGGAGCCTAAGACTCAGAGGGTATGAATCAACTGGTTGTTAAAATAGGAATCAGGCTGCTTTAGGGCTCTGATCAAGTCTCATTCTAAGACCAGGCTAAGATTGGTTAAGACCAATAAAGTGTTATTGGTGATTATTAAGACTTATGACTATAATGAAAATCACTGTACCTGGAAGTGTCTTTCTCAGAGAGCTTGCTTTATGTACGGGAGGACTAATTCTAAGCCCAGACCATGTCTAGCAATCTAGATAATCTAGTCCTAAACTATATTCAAAAGAAACCATTGCTCTCTGGGAGACAAGGAAGACTTAATATCCACCAATCACTCAACATGATACACCGCACTAATAGAATGGAGCAAAAAACCATACAATCATCTCAATAGATGCAGAAAAAGCACTTGACAAAATTCAACTTCCTTTCCTGATAAAAATTCTCAATGGCTTAGATATAAAAGGAATATAACTCAATATGATAAAGACTGTATATAACAAGCCCACAGATAACTTTATACTTGACAGTGAAAAGATGAAAACTTTTTCTCTAGGATCAGAATAAGACAAGGATGCCCACTCTCACCACTGCTATTCAATATAAAGCCAGAAGTCTTAGCCAGAGCAATTAGGCAAGAAAAAGAAATAATAGGCATCCAAATTGGAAAGAAGAAAGTAAAACTGTTTGTAGATGACATGATCTTGTGTATAGAAAATGCTAAGGACTCCATTAAAAAGCTGCTAGAGCTAATAAATGAATTCCATAAAGTTGCAGAATATGAAATCAAACATACAAAAATCAGTTACATTGCTTTATACCAGGAACAAACTATGTGAAAAGAAATAAAGAAAACAATCCCAGTTACAATAGCATCAAAGAGAATAAAATACTTAGGAATAAATTTAACCATGCAGGTAAAAGATCTGTACACTGAAAATTATGACATTGATGAAAGAAACTGAAAAAGATACGAATAAATGGAAAGATAGCCTGTGTTCATGGATCAGAAGAATTAATATTGTTAAAATGTCCCTGCAACCCAGAGTAATCTATAGATTCAATGTAATCCCTATCAAAATTCCAATAGCATTTTCCATAGAAATAGGAAAAAAATCCTGACATTTTTATGGAGCCACAAAAGCAATCTTGAGAAAGAAGAACAAAGCTGGAAGCATTACACTTCTGGATTTCAAACTATATGACAAAGCTATAGTAGTCAAAATGGTATGGTTCTGGCCTAAAAACAGACATATAGACCAATGGAATAGAATAAAACATCCAGAAATAAACTCATGCATATATGGTCAATTAATTTTTGACGAAGGAACCAAAAACACAATGAAAAATGGATAGTCTCTTCAATAAACGATGTTGGGGAAAGTGGATAATAACATGCAAAAGAATGAAACTGGGCCCTTATATCATATGCAAAAAATAGCTCAAAATGGATTAACAACTTAAATGTAATACCTGACACTGTAACACTCCTAAAAGAAAACATAGGGGGTAGCCTTTTGATATGGGTCTTGGCAATGATTTTTTTGGATATGATACTAAAAGCACAAGCAACAAAAGCAGAAATAAAC